AGTCGACTCATTTGTTTAAACAAAATTACAACACGGCCCGAACCAACCCCGATTAAAGAGAATTAATGGATTAGAATCAGTCTGAACCAAACCAGCTTAAATCAAACCAGCCCGGATGGAACCGATGGTGACTTTAAACGATCACAACGAGATGTGTTCGACATTGTTATTTAAAAGCTTTGTCTCATAGACTTGGCATCTCCTGTGAGCTGTGACTCTGGGCCATGCGACGAGCCTTGCACCACACAACATTCCAATGGGGTGAAAGAATCCCAATGGATATATGGAGCATGCCTTACCTATTTGTACACAGCTACAAACTAGAGTTTAGCAAACGAACCCTGAACCCGCGAGTCGAGATGGGTCCGAGCGGATTGGAAAAGGCGGGTTTAATTTTTTTAAGAATTAAACAGGGTGGGTCAAAAAAAAAAAAGAAAAAAAAAAGGGTCTTGGCTCAAAATTTTCCTCACTCTCTAGCGTCTGGCGATGATCGTCACCATCGTCTCCTCCCAAACCTTCCAATCGTCAACAACAAATAACATAACGTCTTTAGACACACATGTGAGAATAAACAAAAATGCATCAACAGTTGAGTCAAATTCAATGTTTCCTAAGCTCATAACCAAATTAAAAGTTTAAAAAGCACGGCAAAAGAAGGTTCAAAGTCACTACCAAATTTTCCTTAAAAAATACACAAATCGAAGGGTACTTTAGGTATATCAAGTCATCTGCTTGATACTCACTGTGGAACAAGGTTTCAAAGTCGCTGCCAAATTTTCCTAAAAAATAAACAAATAGGAGGGTACTTTAGGTATATAAAGCTCGTTGAGAAGTACTTTTAAAATGATTAAAAGTGCTATTAATGAAAATATTTTTGAAACTAATTTTTAGTAAAAATTCAAGTGCATCCTGAAAATCACTTTTAAATGCTTCTTGCAAGAAGCATATAGCAAAACTTTCAATCATTTTAAAAATACATTCAAACGAGCTTCATTTGCTTGGTACTCACGTAGTCTCGACCGCACTATAGCATCGCCATCCCTTTCTCTCTCCCGCGAAAAGCGGGTAGCTAAAGCTGCTCTGACTTTCTCACCCAGGCTCCAGAAAAATTCGGTCGGATCCATCGGGCTTGACGGCTAGCCCGAGCCCGAAGAGAGTACGGAAATGAAGCACAATGGCCAGCTCAGTTCTTTCCCCGCTGCGAACAAGCTGCTGAAGTTCGCTATAATCGTTCTCATTGCCTGCCTGGGCTTGCTCTGTTTGTACTACGGGTGTTCTTTCGTGCCGGGCTCGCGGAGATCCGATGAAGAAGCTTCCGGCTCCGATGGACTCCACCCGCTTTTCGGTGGGTTCGTTCTCCATCGCGATTTGGATGATTTGCATGACGATCAGGAGCACAACTCTGAGATCCTTAAAAGCTTGCCTGTATGTAACACAGTAATTAATGGTTTACTTGTTTTGTTGATTAGTGTAACTGTTGCTAGTTAAGCAAAGATTAATGCATACTTCAATCGCATCATTTGGGGTTTTCATTTGGGAAGAAGAAGTTGCACCCTTTTGTATAACGGAGCTGTATCTGGATTTTGTTGAATGCTGTTATTCATAATCCATAAATGTTAAACTTTTTCTTCCAGAATTAGTACATTGTACTCGTTTTTGCTCAAGTTTATGGCGTTTTCGTGTTTTCGCAGATATGTGATTTACGGTTTTCAGAGTTGATACCATGTCTTGATAGAAACCTTATCTACCAACTGCGATTGAAGCCGAATTTGACGTTTAGGGAGCACTACGAGCGGCATTGCCCGGCTCCAGAGCGGCGTTATAATTGCTTGATACCGCCCCCGCTTGGTTATAAGGTTGGTTGTCATTGCTTCTGTATGAGTTTTACTTTGCTTGACTTCGCTTAGTGATGATTCCGACGAAACCATTTCTAGAATTTCAGATACCTATAAGATGGCCGGAAAGTAGAGATGAAGTGTGGAAGGCCAACATTCCCCACACCCATCTTGCACAAGTGAAATCTGATCAGAATTGGATGGTTGTGAATGGGGACAAGATCAGTTTTCCGGGTGGTGGGACGCATTTCCACGATGGAGCTGATAAGTACATTGTTGCTCTTTCCAGGGTACTTAAACACTGACTCAGTTCTGGATTCTTTTCTATCTTTATTCTGTAGTATAAAAGGAATAGTAAGTCGAAAAGAAAAACGAAAAATTCCAATTCGCTAATGGTATGCTTATTATGTGTAGATGCTTAAGTTTCCTGGTGATAAATTCAACAATGGAGGCAATATCCGGAATGTTCTCGATGTGGGCTGTGGAGTTGCGAGTTTTGGGGCATATCTTCTTTCGCACGACGTCATAGCCCTGTCTCTTGCTCCGAATGATGCACATGAGAATCAGATACAATTTGCTCTAGAGAGGGGGATTCCATCCACTCTTGGTATCTTGGGTATAAAAAGACTTACTTATCCAAGCGGATCATTTGAGCTGGCTCATTGCTCACGCTGTCGAATAGATTGGCTTCAAAGAGATGGAATCCTGTTATTAGAGCTTGATAGATTACTGAGACCCGGAGGGTATTTCGTGTATACTTCTCCTGAAGCATATGCACTTGATCCAGAAAATAGGAGGATCTGGAGTGCTATGTCTGATCTTCTGAAAAGAATGTGCTGGAGAGTTGTAGCGAAGAAAGAACCGAGTGTTGTATGGGCCAAGCCCCTGACCAATAGTTGTTACTTGAAGAGAGATTCTAGGACCCAGCCCCCTCTGTGTGATTCCAAGGATGACCCAGATGCAAGTTGGAACGTGAGCATGAAGGCGTGCATTACTCGATACTCTGGAAGTAAGTAGCATTGCTATACTTCCATTGTCAATTTTTTAGGCTTTCCACCTCCTAATCTTATGATTACTAAAAATTGCAAAACAGAGATGCACAAGGAAAGAGGAAGTGGACTAGCTCCTTGGCCACAAAGGCTTACAGCAGCACCACCTCGCCTGGAAGAAATTGGCGTCAGTCCTGAAGAATTCCATGAGGACACTGTAAGTTTCCTGAGTACAAGCTAACTGTTCACGTTGATGTTTGCCCAGTAAACTTTACTGTTCTATTTAATGAGAGACTGAAAAATCCATGTGATGCAGAACATTTGGCGCTTTAGAGTGATTGAGTACTGGAAGCAGATGAAGTCTGTCATACAGGAAAATTCAATTAGAAATGTCATGGATATGAACTCATACCTTGGTGGATTTGCTGCTGCCCTGAATGAAAAAGACGTCTGGGTAATGAATGTAGCTCCTGTCAATGTATCTGCCAGACTAAAGATCATCTACGATCGAGGATTAGTTGGAACTGTTCATGACTGGTATGCATTTTGATCTGATTATTCTCAGTAATTACAATTTATAATTTCTTGTCACATATTATTGGTCTGTTCAGAGAGTTGAATATTTTCGCTCACTGTGTTGTATAGGTGTGAAGCATTTTCGACATATCCACGTACATATGATCTTCTACATGCGTGGGAAGTATTCTCAGAGATTGCTGAACGGGGTTGCAATGCAGAAGATCTATTAATTGAAATGGATAGGATACTCAGACCAGATGGCTTGGTCATTATACGAGACAAACCTGCTGTTATAAACTATATTCGAAAGTTTCTGACTGCCTTGAAGTGGGATGGCTGGTTATCAGAAGTAGAACCGATGGTCGATGCTCTTTCCTCAAGCGACGAAAGAGTTTTGATTGCAAGAAAGAAGTTGTGGGACGAGGGGATTTCAGTAATGTGACTCTGCTTTGATTTTCAGGTATATGACCTAATTCATTTCACATTGATATGGATCTTCTAAACATTTTGCACTGAGAATTCCATACGTTTTGTTATTTCCTTGTTAATTTGTGCAAACTCTCACTTTGAGGAAATTTGACATTTGTTTTTTTCTTCTCGTCTTTCAAGATGTGCTAGATGCGGTATTGGTGCACGGCCTTGCCAGTCGAAGAGAATGTATTGAAAGAGTAGAGAGCCAAAGGAATGTCTTCAGTTACTGGTCGAGGCCATGATGCGCTGGCTGGTTTGGTACTGCTGTGCTTTGAAAAAAAATTGTTTTCGCTGTGCTGTGAGAATATACTCATTTTTGCTGTTTCACGTTTTCAGTTTTTTTTTTCATCCAAAATTGTGAAAATAAGCTGTTTTTAAGTGTTTACCAAACACTTTTTTGAGCTCAGCTTTTTTTTGATACCCACTTTTTATAAAAACACATCAATACCAAACTAGTACTTTGTTTCGTGAGATTGAGATGGTAGTGGTATACAGGGATAGAGATATAGATATAAAGGGCAACTCCAAACCAACAAGATTCCTTTGCGAGGGTCAAAGAGAATGTCTATCGTACGCACCCTTACCTAGCTTTGCACAGTTAAAAAATGTGCAAAGTTACGGTAGGAGAAAGGCGCAACAAAATTGAAGAAAAACTAGCATAATTAGGTGACTGTTTTGCATTGGGATATTATCTTATTTTTTACAATTAAATAGTAATTGGAAATTGATTATATGGTTTTGGACCTATTTTTTATGAATTTCGTACGATGCGAAAGAGTTGACAATGGTTGTTTGTCGTCCAATTTTCTACAAACTACTTACGAAAACTTTGACTTTTGGGTTACACGTAAGTTCTTTCTCGTATGTTTCATATTTTACTTGCTATTGAAACACCAAGGCAGCGGTATTATACAATTTTATATGGGCAAGTTAAAACACACGACAATGCTCTAATAGGCCCGTGATTCCGCCCACTTTTGAATTCCCGGTTGAAAGTAGGTTGTTTTCCACGAGGCTTGAGCAGAAGAAGAAGACGAGAGGCACGTTCTCCACACGAGACCGACCACACACGAGACAAGCGTTTTTGTTCCCGCGAATTTCGTAATTCCCTACTTTCTCGCTCTAACTTTCTAAACCAGGGAGGGACGCTCCCAAGTTTCAACCCCTCCGGATTAGGACTAGGATTAGTATTAAGGGCACTATTAGGGGCATACCCCTCCCTCTAATCTCTCTCTAATCTCTGTAATTTATCCCTAATCACCCAACAGAGAATCTCACCACCTTCACTCTCGTTGCGTTCCCATGCCCTTCACTCATACGCTTCCATTCGCTTCCATGAATTCATCTGCAGGTGTGGATCCATTGACCAATGGCCTCAAAACCAACCTGTCCCTCAATCCATCATCTAATGGCAACGCCTCCAATGCCAAACCCTCAGCCAAGCAACCGTTTTTCATCGGTACGTAGCCACATTGGTTAGAGCGGATGCCTTCTCTTGCAATTTCAATCTGCATTTCCATGTTTCTTAATGCTTGTTTGTTAATCAGGTGTTGCTGGTGGGACTGCGTCCGGAAAAACTACCGTCTGCAACATGATCATCTCCCAGCTGCGCGATCAGCGTGTTGTTCTCGTAAATCAAGTACTTGTTTCTTTCCCTTTTTTTTCCTAATTTGTTCTTCAACGTGATCTTTGCACACCCCTTGTTTATTTCTAGCATTTTGAATTGAATAAATGGACAAAGAGTCGAGGGACGTAAACAAAAAGGGGTGTGCGGCAATCATCTTGCTTGTTCTTCATGTTTAAATAATGATGCTCTGTGTTGTGTTTTATAGGATTCGTTTTATCATTCCTTGGATGCTGAGAAACTGAAAAGGGTTCATGAGTACAATTTTGATCATCCCGGTAGCCATCCCTTTCGTGAATCATGCTAATGTTTGATTGATTTCAAATGAAATTTGACTAGATATGTGTTCTTTCTCTTCTTTTTTCGTGAGACTTGTGATGTTTCTTCACATTGCAATTGCTTTTCGATTTCAGAGGCATTCGACACAGAGCTTTTGCTTTCTTGCATGGAGCACTTAAAGCGCGGACAGGCAGTCAGCATCCCGAATTATGATTTTAAGACTCATCAAGCTATAGAACCAACTCGGAAGGTAATCCAGTCCGAGTCTCAGTTAACACGTTTTCCGGCATTGCTGCTTGTTTTGATCAAATAATTGCAGGTTAACCCCCCAGACATCATCATTTTAGAAGGAATACTTGTTCTCCATGACCCTCGCGTCCGTGATCTCATGAACATGAAAATATTCGTCGACACAGGTTATCTTTATCCATTTGTTCTCATAGTTAAAATTTGATTTTGGGAGTTGGATCAAACTATCTAGCAATTGAGTAAACCTTGGCTTTTCGTATGTGTTTCGCATAGTATGACCTCTTATCCAATAACCATCATAACAGTTCCACCAGTGCAGATTCTGATGTACGCCTTTCACGGAGAATTCAACGTGACACAGTTGAAAGAGGCAGAAATATCGAGAATGTGCTTGACCAAGTTGGTTCAACTCTCCCCTTTTCCCTTCCGTTTGGATGCTGATTGAAGTGCTGTTATGTCTTTGAATTTCTGTTGACAACTAGTTGACTGTAATTTGCAGTATGCCAGATTCGTGAAGCCTAGTTTCGAAGAGTTCATACTTCCCTCGAAAAAATATGCAGACATCATCATTCCTCGAGGAGGAGATAACGATGTTGCAATCGACTTGATTGTACAACATATTCATACAAAGCTAGGCCAGCATGAACTGTGTAAAATATATCCAAACATCGTCGTTATACATTCAACGTTTCAGGTGACATTCACAACTTTGTAACCCTTGAACTTGTTTTGTTTATATTTGAAATCTCTGCATTCGAAAAAGGGAATGATAGGAAGGGGGACAGATTCTAAACTTGCTATTTCTTTTGTTTCGTTCAGATACGGGGAATGCACACCCTAATTCGCGATGCCAAAACAACGAAGCATGACTTCGTCTTTTATGCAGACCGTCTTATTCGCTTGGTACAGCTACTCGTTTATGTTACAAAGTTTTTTTCTGACTGCCGATAAGCATGATGTAGCGTATAATGGTGTGAACGAACGCTTCAGGTTGTGGAGCATGGACTAGGTCAGCTTCCCTTCAAAGAAAAGCAGATCATTACCCCAACAGGTAGCTCTTCTAGCAGTCATTGATCCGACATTCAATTAGATGAACTCATTAGATAATCGTCATCACACTGCAACATCATTGTCGATAGACCATGAATAACTCGGCTTTATAACTCGTTCTTGTTCATACTAATTATTTTCCAAGAACCTCGGAAAGGAATACTCTTATCAAATTGTGGTGATAGGTAATATACTGTTTATTCATGGCAGGAACTGTTTACAGTGGAGTTATTTTCTACAAACATTTGTGCGGCGTTTCAGTCATTAGAAGGTTTGTTCATAAGAACCTTACAAAAGCAACTTGTCTACATTTCCAACTTTGCCAAACTCGATGATCAGCCTTGATCTTCGAAAGCCAAACGCATTTTTCTGCTATGGAGGAGTTGGATTCACATCCATATCGAAATTTTTGTGTGAAATACTTGAAATACATCGTCTCATTATGTTCGAATTTCCTTGTATCAGTGGAGAAAGCATGGAGAATGCACTTAGAGCATGCTGCAAGGGTATTAAAATCGGAAAAATCCTCATCCATGGAAAGGGTAACGATGGCCGAGAGGTTCGTGGAGGAAACCATTGTTTCAGACCCCTCTCTCTCTCTCTCTCTCTCTCTCTCTCTCTCTCTCTCTCTCTCTCTCAATCTCTCATGCTAATATCCTTACAATGTTGCTGCAGTTGATCTATGAGAAGCTACCAAAAGATATCGCAAGCCGGCATGTGTTATTTCTTGATCCTGTTCTGGCTTCAGGTTTGAGAAAACCAACATCTAACGTCTAATTGGGAAGCATATAATGTCTTCTAAAATCTGTAAATTTGTAGGATACTCCGCCATCAAAGCGATATCTCTGCTGCTCAGTAAGGGCGTACCTGAAACGAACATCATCTTCCTTAACCTCATAGCAGTGAGTTACTCGCATGTTTCCTTGTTCCTCAAGACACCTGACACATACGCTCCTGTAAATTCCTCGACATGAACTTGTTCCGAATAACCTAGAATTTGTAATGCAGGCGCCACATGGAATACATGCCATCTGCAAGAAATTTCCGAAGCTAAAACTCGTTACATCGGAGATCGATGAATCTCTGAACGACGACTTGCGCGTGATCCCGGGCATGGGAGAGTTCGGAGACCGTTACTTCGGCACAGATAACGAAGGAGAAGGTACCATTTCAAGTTCAAGGACGCCGAAATAAAAGTTCCTTTGGCGATGGAGGAGCTGATGGCGTTGCATGCTCAACTTCGTTCCATTGTCTAATAATTTTGCGACCGCTTAGTTTTTGTTCAACAAATTGTGTAGTCAATGAGCATGGACATATCCACAAGCCTACAACCTTGGCTTTTGTGGCCGAAACGTTTATTTTTCTCCGGCAGGTGGTCGAAGTGTTCTTTTTTCCGGCCAGGTCATCGAAATGTTTGATAATTACGAGCCTCAACGAAAACAAAAACATCAATCAATTCAATATTCATGGGAAAAATCTTTATTAATTTACACTGAACAAAATGTTTTGATCTAATAACGTTACTAGAGCGACAAATACAACCTTCAAAAGAGCTTAGAACTGATACATTCCGGAATTGCACCTAAACACATACTTCAAAAATGGATAGAATCAGTTAATCTCACAGTTCGTTCTTCATGTCTTTAATCTCGAAAATTGAAGATAAGTTGCTAATGGATCATGTCGTGCTCTTTTTACTCTTCTTCTTCCTTGAAGCAAAGCTGCTTGGTCCAATTTCTATGGACATCCTTTTCGTCCTGCAAAACAATAATTGGGTACATTCAGAAGAACAGCATGTGGCGTTCGGGGATCTTGTGTATTGTGGTTTCTTCCACAAATATAAGAGTGGCCAACAAAAATTAAGAAGCATCATACCTCTTGGAGAGCTCTTCTGACTCCTCGTCGCCATCTTCAAATGCACCATCTGAAACTAAACATATAATGCAATTCAAGGCCAGTTGAAAGATCCATTCAACAATATATGCGAAAAACCAAATGCTAAATCAACATTATACTTTTGTTGTTCACAACTAAAGCCATACCAGCTCCATCGATCTCTTCATCCTCGTTCTCTGACTCTGAACCGGAACCCCACCTGTCACCTCCCTCGTCAAAGTCCCAACGTTCTCCCACTGGTGGCATCCAAAAGTCAGCTTCTTCAGTATCACCTTCCTCATCAGAAGACTTACTTTTTCCAGACATAATCTCATCCACTCTGTCATCCTTCTTCTTATTCTTCTTCTTCTTATTCTTTTTCTTCTTCTTCTTTCTTTCTCCGTCTCCGTCTTGGTCAGGTACTATTTCCGGGTTCTGATCATCCATATTTTCTACCACTCCCTTGGCTTTTAGCTTCTCTTCTTCCTTCTCTTCTGTTTATATAAACCGACACGAATATCACCAATAAAAACATTTGGGACACCATCAAATTCATATATAAGCAAAACCCATGAGTCCAAAAGCCAATCCATACACAAATTGGACCGAAAACCAACATAATGGATTCGAAAAAGAACGAAACAGTATACGAACCGAGCTTGTTGAGGAACCGTTTCCCATTTATATGCTTCCAAATGTGCTCCTCTGACTTATTGATAGTATCCCCTGTTAGCTTACACACCAACTTTGAACTGCACAAGGAAAGCAAACGAACAAGGTGTCAGCATAAACTCAAAATCTCTGCTTGGTTTGCAGTAAAATTTACAAACTTTTCGTATATCAATTCGCAACATGGGAAATATAAACAAACGTAAATTTAACATTGGCCTCTGGGGGATTGCTTCTACAAGGAGTAAAAGTGCTTTCCGACCAACAAATGCGATTTTGATTATGTTTGGGAAAACACCAGGAAGGTAAAAGCGCTTTCGGGAGAAGCACCTACTCAGGAAGTACTTCCAAGTATTTTTCCAGAAAGCACGTTCATTTTAATGAAAATTTCGACATGTTCCTAGGAAGCATAAGTGCTTTTGATCAGAAGTGCTTAGCAATCAAACCCAGCAGAATTTCAATGTAAATTATGCAGAAATTAATCAAAGCTTAAATCTTTATGTAACGGAAACGAAAGATTATGAAATTACCGGGAAAGAGGATCCTGCTTGAACATGTTGAGAGGAGCTTTCTTATGGGCAAGGGAATATTCGATGAGACCCAAACGGCACCGTTTGCTCCGAGAGTAAATTTCTATGTCTTTGGCCAGCAATTCGTGGCCTGTCTCGACGCACTGGAAGCGGCCGTTGTCGAGCTCCTTGAAGGTCGGCGAGCCCAGCAGGTTGCTCCCTTCCTTTTCCTCCTTCGCCTTCTCAGTCGTCGCCATTGCTGAGTTCCTCGAGCTGCGAAGCCGCGCACAGAGAGAGCGAGCGAGCGAGCGAAGATACAATGTTTTGGGCCGCAGACCTAATTATAAGCCAGCCTCATCTGGTCCTGGACTCATAAGGATTTTGGGCCTATTTTTTGGATCCAAGTCTGAGTTAATGTGGGCCAATCTCAATGCGCCCTCCTCTTTCGTTGTCTATCCAAATAAATGGGTAAGAGACTATTATGTGTAATCCAACGTTTAAGTAACCGTGTCTCAAACTTATTACTTGTCGTTCATGAGTTATGAATTTAGGATCTCATTAAACGAAGGGGAGACTGAGACTGAGTATCGTTAGACTAAACATTCATATGCATGAGAGATTTTTCAGTGTGATCGACACACAAGATGATACATCACGTGTTACTGTACAAATGATGAGATATGTATGTTAAAAAGTTAATAACTTAAAAAATATTTTTTTTCATCATTTACATAAAAACACGTGATGTATCACTGTGTTCCCGTCATAATAAAAAATTTCTCCATCTTCAGGCCTTCTGTCTTTGTTTACCTCAGTGAATGGCTCATTTCCGAGTTCAGCAAATTAGGGAAAATTTTCAAAGGCAAATGTCAACAAAAGGAGTGATTTTTGCACAACATATTCACTCCATGTGCGTCTTTCTTCGCCCTTTGTGCGCACCTTTTTTCATCTTTTGCACGCCTTTTTTAGTTTTACAATTAATTCTTTTTTGATTTGTTTAAACTAGTAGTTAAAGAAAGAGTAGTGCCACACTTATCATATTTTTCATACCGAAATTGTCATTATAGAGATAGGTCCCAACAATATATATGAGTCTCATCTCTATTAGAGTCTTAAAGATGTGATATAAATGTAATATGAAAAATAAGATAAGAGTAAAATTTTTGTTAAGAAAATATACAATATGAAATGGTGTACATAAATTATTTCACACATGATCAATGTCAAAGTTGTTAAATTTGCTCATCAAATTATTTACCAAATGATGTGGTTGAACCATTTCTGGATCTCTGTGTCGGAGTCCAAGGAAAAGATGATCCAAACCGCTGAACAAAGAGATCCAGATCTTTAATTGATGTGAAGTAGATCAGTGAGATAGATTAATGAGAACTACATAATTTAAAATGAATGGTCTAGACCACCTTATTCTTCCGATCTAGACACAGAATCTAGGGGGGTTATCGAGCTGTTGTTTATGTATAAATCATAATAAAAAATCATGAAAATTTGTAATATATTTGGTGAACACAACTTGTTTGTCGGTGATTTATTTTGCGTAAATATAAAATGACTTGGAATCTTGATCAATCACGAGTTGAAGTTATGTCTGTTGAATTTGCTTTGACAATTTGGACGTGATGATATTTCTTTACATATATTTAGCAAGTTTTGTTCTTCTTTGGGGCTACCTTGTGGTGGAGACAGATTGTCTACCCTCTTGTTTTGGTGCTCTTTCCATCGCCTCTTATTTGTAAGGTCACAGTCAAACAACATTAACATTTTATATTCTTATTATTTTTTGTTTTATTATCTCTATAAAAAATTAATATAAAATGTTGACGTGATTTAACCTTGACCGTACAAAATAGGAGGGGATGAAAATGACACCTAAACAGGAGGGCGACAATATGCCTCCACGTGGTCTACTATTTTTAATGTAAATACAATATAAAAATGGCCCATGCTTGGCACATGTAGCATGCACATTTTTTTATTATATGCTTTTGCAAGATGTGTTCACATCCTAGATTCGGTGCGCAGAAAAAAAAAATTAAAATAAAAAAAATAAACGAAATAGGGGACTTAAAATAATACTTCTTTCATAGAAATAAATATATGTGTACAAAACTTAATAAAAACTCTTATATCCCTCATGTCTTGACAAATAATTCATCTGACCCTCCTCTCTTGACAAATAATTCATCTGAAAAATAAAAAAGTGAAAGGTAAGCAACAATCACATTTAGTGAGTATGTAGAATATGTAATATGTCAGTGGAGTAATGTCGTTTTCCACAAACTAGAAAATAAGGTACTTCTATATAAATATATCACATAATTTCATATCATATCATCCATAGCCTTTTTGCTCTAATGTACCCGTGTGTAGTTTACATTGATACCTTAGAATAATGCAACACTAAAGTTCTCGTGCTCCATGAACAATTCCAAGTAATTCACTGATCAAATATATAATAACTCTAAAAGAAATTTTCAAAATAACCATGCTTACTTAAAGGCGTGTGACATACACACAACTTTTTTACTTCTCATACAACTTTTTCAGTTTTCGACCGTTAGATCGGATAAATTGAAGAAGATCAAAGGACAAAAATTAATAAGGGGTGTATAAGAAGTAAAAATGAGTGTGTGAATAGCGCACCCCTACTTGAAAACAAAGAGATATTTGTAAATAGAGTAAAACTCACGATATCATGGTTTTTGTAATACATACTAGTATATACCTACACACTTTGTGTGTTTAGACAATTTTTTTATTTTTGTTTTTATTTTTATTTTTTAATTAGAGATTTGATAAGATCACATGCAGGTGATGCTTTTAAAAAACACTTTAAAATCTAGTTTGTACAAAATTACTTTATTGTCCCTTATTTTATTTACAAACATGTCTTTTTACCATTTTTTGATTGATAAATAAAATTTCATTAATATGTAGTTAAGATATGGAGGCTCCCATGCATGTGAATATATTTACAATATTTATATAAGAAAATTAATATATAATCATCTATGAAAAGAAAATTGATATATAATAATTTATGAAAATCTTTCAAAATATAAATACATTAAATATATACTTTTCAAAATACGAATCTTCACAGTTAAATTTTAAAAGTCCTTTTTGTGTGTGTGATACTCCTAAAGTTCTGATGAACAAGTTCTACGAGTACTTTACAAAATTCAATGGTTTTTCACCTTTTTCATTCCTCTTTAATAATTTTCATAAAAAATTTAAACCCTTTTTCAAAATTTAATACTGGGTTGATAATAAAGCAGTTTATGGAATTGTATATATTTTTGCAATAATGTTGTGTGACGTGACATGCTTTCACAGTTGAATTATGACTGTTTTTATTCATAATTGTCAATACTTTAACAAGCAAAATATTAATCATGACTCTTTGTTTATGAAGAAAATGATGGGAATGGTCTAATGACTTCAACAAAGTTTCCACGAATTCGGGTGGCCTAAAGCCTAAAATCAACATGCAACGTGTTGTATATTCTTTTTCTGTTTGTCGTTCTCCTAAAATGTATTATGTAAAGAGAGAAACAGATACATAAAGATATATAATCTCATTACGTCGAAATCTCTCATCATTCGAAGGCATGCCATGATCATTAAGAACAAAATGTGATTGAAACCTGTCTTCCGATGCATAATTCGTAACTTATGGCAGGATTAATGGGACCTTGTCTGCAGAAAGAGCACATGAATGAAGTACAAGAACATGTGGTTAGGCTGCATGACAGTAACACTGACATAGTAGGGTATAAATTAAAACAAATCAAAAGATGCCTGTTTGTTTTTCTCATCACCTCTTTGTACACAGTATAAAGAAACACTCTTCCTCCATATATATATATATAGGGAGCGTTTGTTGCACCGGACTATCTCGGACTGGACTAGCTTCAAGGACTAAGCTGGACTGGCTTAGACTAGACTAAGCTGGACTAACTTAGTGAAGCGTTTGGTGCAGTGTTGGACTAAAAAGCTGAATAATAACAAATTCTAATATTATATTATTTAATATATAAATTATTTATATTTTATTATGATCTAGGTGATCGGAGATGACGAGGAGTCTATCGGGAGTGGTTGTTGAGCATGACGAGGACGAGAGATGATAGTCTTAGCTAGTCCCATGGTTATTGGGGGGTCTCGCTAAGATCTCTTAGTGAAGGGTTTTGTCCATGCTAGTCCCCTTTAGTCTCATTAATGTTAGTCCCAGCATGGAACAAACACGGTATTGGACTAACAGCTAGTCCATTCCAGTCCAGTCTCACTTAGTGAAGGTAAACAAACGCCCCCATATAGTATAGGATTTGGACCTCCCTCAGTCCTTTCTCTCTTGTGTGTGCATATATTTATAAGTTAGGATTCGAAAACACACGTTTTTAACACACATCGTAAAAATCAGATCGATTTTGACACAAAGTACAAAGTAACACTCTTCCTCTTAGTCCTCTATTTAATATATTATACACACACACATATATATATAGTTTATCCTGCTCTTGCGTTTGAGTTGCAGTATGTTTCGTGTAGTGGAAATGCAGATGGCTAGATTCGTCGTTGCCGGTTGTTTCGCTATGTGTTTACTGAGTGTGGGAGGGGAAGGGGTGATAGACACATCGTCGCGTTGTGATTTTCCGGCAATTTACAACTTTGGAGACTCCAACTCAGATACTGGTGGTAACTCAGCTTCATTTTACCCCATGGTATCACCCTGTGGTGAAACTTTCTTCCACAGACCCGCCGGAAGGGGTTGTGACGGCCGTCTCATCATAGATTTTATTGGTAATTCTTATGGACTGCAACTGTGAATTTATTGCGAGATTAGTTGCTTAATTACCTTACCAAATTTTACACCAATATCTGTGATGTGCTAATTATGCAGCAAAGCATTTGGAGTTGCCATACTTGAGTCCATATTTGGACTCACTTGAGAGCAATTTCAGGCACGGTGCCAATTTCGCTAGCGGCGGATCTACCATCCGGCCTTACAAGGAGGCCATGTTTGAAAATGGTGTGAGCCCTTTTTATCTTGAAATCCAGATTGCTCAGTATCAGCAGTTCAAGTCACGTACCACAACTCTTTCCAAACAAGGTGACTAATGCCACAAACTACCCAAAAAACAGATCTGTTCACATTGCCCTTCGAAAGTTTTTTTGTTATTTTCTTGAGATGCAAGTATGAGAAGCTCATTTCATTGATTGATCTCAGTTGTTATGATCTGCAGCCAAGAAACAATCCGACAGATTCCCAATAATCGATGACTTCTCAAAGGCGCTCTACACTTTCGATACAGGACAGAATGATCTAGCTGCTGGTTTTCGGACAAAGTTCAGCAGTGAACAATTTGAAGCAGAAATCACAGACATGATTAACCAGCATGCTAACGCCGTACGAGTAAGTATATATATAGAGGGCGGGTCATTAACAAATAAGTGACATTGTTAAAAAAACAAAATGGTTATTAAACGGGCCTTAAATAACCGCATCTTCCTGTTGTACAGAATTTGTATGAACAAGGGGCAAGGACATTCTGGATACACAACACGGGTCCGATTGGTTGCTTGGGAGTGACCTTAAGCTACCTCCATAATCCGAGCCCCGGCTTCATTGACAGCCAAGGTTGTGACAAGTTTCAGAACGACATGGCTAGGAAGTTCAATAGGCAGCTGGAGCAGAAAGTGATTCAGCTAAGGAAGGAGCTCCCCCTTTCTGCCATAACATATGTCGATATCTTCGCTGCAAAGTATGAACTGCTCAGCAACGCAAAGAAGCACGGTAAATCTCATTGGTTATTGGCATGAAATAAAGTCCGCTACAAACGTTTAATCAAATATAGAACCGGGATGCTAAACAGACAATACGCAATATATAAACCATGGTTCCAGTGCCCCATTATTGTCCCTCCAGTTCTATTCTCTATGAAAAAGTGTTGGATTTATGCACATTTCCCTTGATTCATGCAGGATTTTTGGATAAGGCAAGCATCTGCTGTGGGTACCATGACGAAAACAACCATGTGTGGTGTGGGAATAAGGGCACCTTAACTAATGGGACTCAAGTATATGCTGGTTTATGTAAGGATCCTTCCTTGTATATCAGCTGGGATGGCGTACACTACACCGAGGCTGCGAACCGTTGGATTGCAGATCGAATAGTCCACGGTTCGTTCACAGACCCGCCGGTTTCGATCAAAAGTTCATGTCATACAACTCAACCTGAGTAGCTGGTTCCATATGTGATTCTTCATTTTTTTGTTCTATCTCCCAGACCCTGCTTAAAGCGGGAGCCCTTGTGCACTGGGTACGACGACTGTTTCTGTTTATACCTGAAACACCTCAACCCTTTTTATATTTAAAAATTGTTTTTAAAGCCTTAATTGGTGAGCCCGTGGGGCCCACCTTGTTTTATTTATTGTGTGTTTCCCGGTCTCCCTCTTCCCTATCTCAGTTCTCTCTTCAGTCACCCGAGCTCTCTCTCCCTCGTCTCTCTCTTTCTCGTCCTCCCATGAGCACATACCCATCACCACACCACCATCTCCGACGTCAACGGCGTCGTCATCATCATCATCAGTTCGTTTTCTCTCTCTCTCAGTTGCTGCGAGGACAGCAAAAACCAGTACTCGAGCTCCGACACAAACCGACGCCTTTCGAGGCCATTTCCGGCCAAACCACGGCGGGTTGGCCGGCGTGCAAGGTATCAATCTCTTCGTCTTGTCGAGTACTACAACTTTCCTTTTGGTTTCACTCAATTTAGTTGAGTATTGAAGAAGTTATACTCATTTGAATCTTACCCAGTTTCCGGCGAGTCCGACGGCTTTCGAGGCGTTTTCCGGCAAAACCACGGCGAGTTAGACGTCGTGTGAGGTACCATTCTCTTCGTCTCTTCAAGGGCTATAACTTTCGTTTTTATCTCGCTTGATTTCGTTGAGTATTGTTAAAGTTATGGCCGTTTAAAGTGGGATGGTTTTCCGGCCGAATCTCCGGCCTTCTCCTTCTCGGCAAAACCAGGCCCATCCGGCCTTTCCCTTTCCCTTCCCTCGGGCCTTAAGCCCATTAGACCCCAGCCCCTTTTCTTTTAATTTTGTTCTTGTTCTTTTAAAACCCAATAAGGGCTCGGGCCTTATTTAAAATGGCCTTGGGCCGGTTTTGGTTTAAGGGGCTTAAAGCCCTGCCCTTGTGAGGCCTTAAGGCCTTTGTGGTTTGTGTGTGTGTGTGTATTAGGTGTGTGTGTGTGTGTGTGTGTGTGTGTTTAAGTGTGTGCGTGTGTGTATATGCATGCCTTGCATGCATGTGCATGTCGTGCATGTGTGTGTGAGTTTGTGGTGTGTATATGTTTGGGCTTAGGCCCAAACTCTATTTCTTTACCCTAAACCCTTTTAACCCAAAAACCTTAGAAAACCCAAAACCCAATATATCATAATCCTATTTAACCTAAACCCTAATCCGATTTTCAAGCCTAAAACCGTTAGACTTAATTTGACCGTTGACCTCCGGTTAACGATGACTTTAGGGTTGACTTTTCGGGTTTTCGTCCGGGACCCTTCTTAGGGTAATTCGACGTTCTGAATCCGTTTCCGACGTCTGTTTTCCCAAATTCAATTGTTAAAAATAGAGTTTTATTAATTGGACCCTTTATGTGCTTAGGGCAATTATTGGTGACGTTTTCTTGTTCGTTAGTTTGCGTGGCTCTTCGGCGGCTAAGTACTGTGAGTGGACCCCTTCTAAAATGCATGTTTTATAGTAGAAATGCATACATGAAAAGCATGATTTGATGATTACGTTTTATGAAACGTTTTGTGAGATAACATGCTTATTGAGGCTACTTTAAATTATTACTATTTTTCCTATAACCCGTGTTCTTATAGAATATCTGATGGATGACGATATGATATTTAGAACATGTTTCGAACACCTCTTTATAGTATAGATGATGAATGACTTTATACTATGAAGTTGTTTTTCAATATATGTATGTTCAATGGTTTTGTACTTACCTAGTGGTCATTTCCGCTATACGGGACGTAGGGATAGATTCCGGTCCGTCCCGGGCGACGGTTTGGTGTTGGCATAGGGCCTGGAGTGTGTTTCCTCTGGCTATTTAGCACAGGGACGGGGAGCCGGCATGGGGCCTGAAGTGTATTTTCCTCTGATTGTCTGCTCAGAGACGGGGAGCCGGCATGGGGCCTGGGGGTTATCGGACAATTCACTAGTGATTATTATATATACAAGTTATGATTTGAGATACTGCACATCATGCTAGGTTTCGGAAAACCTATGTTTATCATTATATATGTGTTTTCATAAAACTTGGGGGTTAGTACGTTGATAACTGTTTTGTTATATTTATATCAAATTGGTCCACTCATGTTTGTTTTGCGCCCCCTTCAGGATTTAGGATCGAGGCATACAATCCCGGCATCCAGGCACTTCCGCATCGGTATCTTCGAGTCCTCTCGGTGTAGGACCCATTTCTATGTTCATTCAATTTTTATATTAATTCTTTTAATGTTCTAGATTAGATGTGTGCTCTGAACACGTTCCTTAAATACATATTCTTTATTCTCTTATATTTATAAGTCTTATCTATCCCTTGTTGTCAGCATTTGCACTCAATAAATGGCTTTCGTCACCCTTCGGGTGTCGGCCAGCACGTGACCATCCCTTTGTCCCTAGGACATCGGGATCGGGGCGTGTCAGATTGGTATCAGAGCGTGCTAAGTAAGCGAGTAAGGGTGAGTGGTGACGACGGTTAGTAGGTGGTAGTTAGTGGGAGCAAATCAATGTTCTCGGACTCATTACCACCGAAGAAATTTGGGTGAATCTTTATAACAATTCTCGGCGATTGTTCTAACGATTACCTTCTTACTTATTCCAATGACGATGACAAGTTCACGAACCTTTGATCGTTGACTTCACATCAAAGCCTTCGAGAGTTGACTTCGTCTAGAGATTACACTTTCTTGGGAAACTCCTCGGTAGCAGATGCTGTTCCCATCAATTTCCCAAAATGGAGTTACGATTCTTGTTGTTGTGGTAGTTGGACTTGGATGATGAAGATCTAGTCTTGTTTGGATAAACAGATTCTTGAATTTCACCTGGGTCTGGTACTCGGTGGTAAAATGGCCCTTGTTCATGTACTTTTCGGTAGAGGTGAACTTAGCCTCTTGCTTGTAGCTCAATTGACTAGTGCTCTTGTCCATTAACTGTTCAGCCTTGTAATTTTCAGTGTAATGGCTTGAGATTCCACCATATTCATCATTGTACGAAGATTGAGCTTTACTCTAAACTTCTCTGGACTCATTGAGCTTTGGTTTAGTTAGAAGCATCACTTTAAGGTAGCCAATCGTGTCACTGCATGCATACGCGGGCTGCTTCGTATCTTTCTTCATCGTCATTCTGTTGATTCAGAGGTTCTATGTTTAATTTTTGAACTTTGACAAATCTCACAAAGTATTGTGAATTTCGAAATGTCTTTGGCCTCGTCAAATCTTATAAGCAGTTGTTAACTATTCTTTGAGCTTAGACCTGTTTCCCTTTTGGCTAAGAAACCCGTCAACCTTATGGTGATGATTAGCTAAATAATCATAAACAGTGACTTCTATTTCTGCATCTTCATTTTCCTTCGCTTGTTTGTTTCTCAATGTAAACGGAATCATGCCGGAACAAAAAAAAAAAAAAAAAAAAAAAAAAAAAAATTTGTTCTCAGCTTGGTTTCTGGTTTAAATCATGATATCTTGTACTCAGCATAGTTTCTGGTTTAAATCTCGATATCTTGTACTCCAGTTTTAATGGACTATTTTGACTCTCAAATTCTTGAGTGTTCCTTTTAGCCTTCTCGACATGGTTTCTCGCTCAATCAGTGAGGAATTCACGATCGATCGATTCGGCGGAAGTGTGCACCCAATTCTTATCGTTTTGGACAGGAATGTTGGGAGTATAATATTTTGACAAGCTTACTAGACTTACCAGAAAGAGTTCCTCGTGGGTGTGAAGTTTGAGTCGTCTTTTGGTAAGAGACCGGTGAAAGATTGTGGTGCATATGAGTAGCATATTGCATCACTATCTTCACTCTAATTGAATGGTCACCATTCATTATTTTGTTGCAATTCATCACCATCATATCGTACTCTGGTAGATCTTTTCGATGATGTGATGTGTTCGCCTCAACGCACCGCAGCGTAGCTTTCCACTACCTCGCACCAGGATCTTTCGGTTCGAGAGCACGTGGGCATGAGGTTTAAGCGGTCTTTTAGTAAGAGTTGGTTGAAGGTTTTAGTACAGAAGGTCAGCATATTGTATCACCATCTTACTAGAATTCATGGGCATCACATCGGTTATTTTCCAACGATATGTGTTCGTCTCAACGCATATTTCCACTGCTTCACTTTTGAACTTTATTATCGTGAGTACGCAGTTGTCGAAACACTTCTAGCAGATCTGTTTGGTGCATTCTGGGATGACACTACATCACGGTCGAGGCGAGAATTGGATAATCTTTGCACTTACTTCGAAAGGTGTGTGCTCTCTTTGGTTGTTAAGATGACCATTTGCGAGTCGTTCTTCTTTCCACCAACTTTGACCTTGGTTGACTAGAAATATGCAACTAAGCAAAAATGGAGAGGTGGATTGAGCACTACAACAGTTCCCAAGAGATACTGCATGTTGAGGAAGATGACTTCTCGTTTTCTGCTTGCTTGGTTCAAGCTTTTGGGTCTACTACTAACATGGTAGCCACTTCTCTTGAATCCCAAGATACAATTTTCAAAAGGGTTCTTTACTGGTGAAACACTGGAGTAGTTGGTCACATTTGGAAGAACTGAGGAGGATAGGATGCTTAGTGCTGGATAAAGTTTTACGACGACAGTTCTTATTTTTGTTCGGTTTGAGTATGGCACTTGTTGCGGCATGGTACGAGAGTTGCTACACGCAACATTGGTTGATAGAGGAGATGTGCGAGCTTGTAATTGGAAGATCGAATTTTCGGCGTGTGAAATTGTGCACCCTTAGGAAATTAGTGCTTGCTTATCGAGACAACAAATGTGTGATCGATATCACGGGCGGCCGACTGTTGTATCGATAACTTATTCGTTGGGTTCGTTAAGCAAGTGGGCAGGAAGATCCGTCTACGGCAATTGTTACAGATTAGCTATTCTTGGGATTCGACCCAAAGACACATCTTTTCTCGGAGTACGTGAAGTTACGAATTCTTGGGCGAGATCCATTTCCATTTTCAGTTTTGGTTTTTAGTATAAGTATTTTAACTTCCTTTACTTTAGTTATTTGTTTTTGTCATTTCAATTGTTTTGAGGAAAGTGTTTTCCGTTTTCAATTTTAAGTTCAGCACGAGTTTTCGACCTATATGTTATTACATCTCTATTTTGACGTTATCGTATTTTATGTACTTACTTTTGACCTTAAGTTATTATGTGTTTTCGACTTAATATTTTTATAAAGTATATTTCTACTTTTACACTGATGGGGATGAAAGTAAGAGCTTTGAGGCATAATAGAGGATTTTGCAACCCGCTCGCGACGGTGTGGCATATTCTCTTTGATGCACCGACTCTGACTTGATTTCTCTTTATACATATATTCTTCTTACTATTTTCGAGTACTTCAGTTTAGTAAATGATTTTAAATTTCGGGGACGAAATTTTTATAAGGGTGGTAGATTGAAACACCTCAACCCTTTTTATATTTAAAAATTGTTTTTAAAGCCTTAATTGGTGAGCCCGTGGGGCCCACCTTGTTTTATTTATTGTGTGTTTCCCGGTCTCCCTCTTCCCTATCTCAGTTCTCTCTTCAGTCACCCGAGCTCTCTCTCCCTCGTCTCTCTCTTTCTCGTCCTCCCATGAGCACATACCCATCACCACACCACCATCTCCGACGTCAACGGCGTCGTCATCATCATCATCAGTTCGTTTTCTCTCTCTCTCAGTTGCTGCGAGGACAGCAAAAACCAGTACTCGAGCTCCGACACAAACCGACGCCTTTCGAGGCCATTTCCGGCCAAACCACGGCGGGTTGGCCGGCGTGCAAGGTATCAATCTCTTCGTCTTGTCGAGTACTACAACTTTCCTTTTGGTTTCACTCAATTTAGTTGAGTATATTGAAGAAGTTATACTCATTTGAATCTTACCCAGTTTCCGGCGAGTCCGACGGCTTTCGAGGCGTTTTCCGGCAAAACCACGGCGAGTTAGACGTCGTTGTGAGGTACCATTCTCTTCGTCTCTTCAAGGGCTATAACTTTCGTTTTTATCTCGCTTGATTTCGTTGAGTATTGTTAAAGTTTATGGCCGTTTAAAGTGGGATGGTGGTTTTCCCGGCCGAATCTCCGGCCTTCTCCTTCTCGGCAAAACCAGGCCCATCCGGCCTTTTCCCTTTCCCTTCCCTCGGGCCTTAAGCCCATTAGAACCCCAGCCCCTTTTCTTTTAATTTTGTTCTTGTTCTTTTTAAAACCCAATAAGGGCTCGGGCCTTATTTAAAATGGCCTTGGGCCGGTTTTGGTTTAAGGGCTTAAAGCCCTGCCCTTTGTGAGGCCTTAAGGCCTTTGTGGTTTGTGTGTGTGTGTGTATTAGGTGTGTGTGTGTGTGTGTGTGTGTGTGTGTTTAAGTGTGTGCGTGTGTGTATATGCATGCCTTGCATGCATGTGCATGTCGTGCATGTGTGTGTGAGTTTGTGGTGTGTATATGTTTGGGCTTAGGCCCAAACTCTATTTCTTTACCCTAAACCCTTTTAACCCAAAAACCTTAGAAAACCCAAAACCCAATATATCCTAATCCTATTTAACCTAAACCCTAATCCGATTTTCAAGCCTAAAAACCGTTTAGACTTAATTTGACCGTTGACCTCCGGTTAACGATGACTTTAGGGTTGACTTTTCGGGTTTTCGTCCGGGACCCTTCTTAGGGTAATTCGACGTTCTGAATCCGTTTCCGACGTCTGTTTTCCCAAATTCAATTGTTAAAATAGAGTTTTATTAATTGGACCCTTTATGTGCTTAGGGGCAATTATTGGTGACGTTTTCTTGTTCGTTAGTTTGCGTGGCTCTTCGGCGGCTAAGTACTGTGAGTGGACCCCTTCTAAAATGCATGTTTTATAGTAGAAATGCATACATGAAAAGCATGATTTGATGATTACGTTTTATGAAACGTTTTGTGAGATAACATGCTTATTGAGGCTACTTTAAATTATTACTATTTTTCCTATAACCCGTGTTCTTATAGAATATCTGATGGATGACGATATGATATTTAGAACATGTTTCGAACACCTTCTTATAGTATAGATGATGAATGACTTTATACTATGAAGTTGTTTTTCAATATATGTATGTTCAATGGTTTTGTACTTACCTAGTGGTCATTTCCGCTATACGGGACGTAGGGATAGATTCCGGTCCGTCCCGGGCGACGGTTTGGTGTTGGCATAGGGCCTGGAGTGTGTTTCCTCTGGCTATTTAGCACAGGGACGGGGAGCCGGCATGGGGCCTGAAGTGTATTTTCCTCTGATTGTCTGCTCAGAGACGGGGAGCCGGCATGGGGCCTGGGGGGTTATCGGACAATTCACTAGTGATTATTATATATACAAGTTATGATTTGAGATACTGCACATCATGCTAGGTTTCGGAAAACCTATGTTTATCATTATATATGTGTTTTCATAAAACTTGGGGGTTAGTACGTTGATAACTGTTTTGTTATATTTATATCAAATTGGTCCACTCATGTTTGTTTTGCGCCCCCTTCAGGATTTAGGATCGAGGCATACAATCCCGGCATCCAGGCACTTCCGCATCGGTATCTTCGAGTCCTCTCGGTGTAGGACCCATTTCTATGTTCATTCAATTTTTATATTAATTCTTTTAATGTTCTAGATTAGATGTGTGCTCTGAACACGTTCCTTAAATACATATTCTTTATTCTCTTATATTTATAAGTCTTATCTATCCCTTGTTGTCAGCATTTGCACTCAATAAATGGCTTTCGTCACCCTTCGGGTGTCGGCCAGCACGTGACCATCCCTTTGTCCCTAGGACATCGGGATCGGGGCGTGTCAATACCCGGATCCGGATGGCAAAAATTCAATACTTTAACAAGCAAAAATTAATATAATGACTATTTATTTAAGAAGAAAAAGATGGATATTATGCCCCTACTCTTTGCTTAGGTGTAACTTTTTTTATATTATTTTAATAAAATCTCTTTCGTACTGTGGAGGTTTCTTCAGAAAGAAAAGAAAAAGAAAAAGATAGATATGGTCTCATGTGCTGCACAAAAATTTCCACGAATTTGGGTGTTTGTGGTTTTTTTTTTGGGGGGGGGGGGGATGGCGGTGTACATCCTTTATGTGTATGCCTGTCTCTTCAAGTAATACAACCTTTATGTGTATGCCTGTCTCTTCAAGTAATACATCCTTTATGCGTATGCCTGTCTCTTCAAGTAATACGTTACGCGAGGAGAGAGACGGATACAGAAAACATAGAGCTCATTCCAACAACATGCCTTGATCATTAAGAACAGGATGTGATTGAAACGTAGCTTCCAATGTAAATTTCGTAACTTATGGCACAATTATGGGAAATTCTTGTATGCAGGAAGTAATTTAAGGAAATAGTAACGTGTTCAAATAAAAGTCAGTTATCGTGAACAAATGAGGGACGTATCCTGGTCCTGCATTTGAGTTGCAGTCTGTTTGGTGTGGTGAAAATGGAGATGGCTAGATTTCTCGCTGTCGGTTTTTTCGCAATGTGTTTACTGAGCGTGGGAGTGGAAGGGGTGACATACACATCGACTAGTTGTGATTTTCCGGCAATTTACAACTTTGGTGACTCAAATTCAGACACTGGTGCTAACTCGGCAGCATTTTACCCCATGGCATCACCTTGTGGTGAGACTTTCTTCCACAGACCCGCCGGAAGGGGTTGTGACGGCCGTCTCATCATAGATTTTATTGGTAAATTTATCTTACGACTAGTTGTATACCTACCATTTACCAAATTTATAAGAATACTAAAATCATTAGTGACATTAATTACTTCTTGTTAATTATATTATGTATGTGATGTGCTAATTAATTATGCAGCAAAGCATTTGGGGTTGCCGTACATGAGTCCATATTTGGACTCACTAGAGAGCAATTTCAGGCGCGGTGCCAATTTTGCTAGCGGCGGAGCAACCATCCGGCGTTACAATGAGTCCATGTCTGAAAATGGTGTGAGCCCTTTTTATCTTGACATCCAGATTGCTCAGTATACCCAGTTCAAGTCACGTACCACTCGTCTTTCCAGCCAAGGTGACAAATCCACATATTACCCGAAAAACAGATCATGTTCATCTCGCAGCCTTTCTAAAGTTTTTTTTGTTGTTACTTGAGATGCAAGCATGGTAACCTTAGTTGTTATGATCTGTAGCCGAGGAACAATCCGACAGATTCCCAATAGTCGATGACTTCACAAAGGCGCTCTACACTTTCGATATAGGACAAAATGATCTAGCTGCAGGTTTTCGGAAAAAATTTAGCAGTGAACAGTTTGAAGCACAAATCACAGACATGATTAACCAGCAAGCTAACGCCGTACGAGTAAGTATATAATGCTAGTTTATTACCGAACAAATGTCATTGTTAAAAAACAAAATGGTTATCAAACGGGGCTAATATAACTGCATCTTTCTGTTAATACAGAATTGTATGAACAAGGGGCAAGGACATTCTGGATACACAACACGGGTCCGATTGGTTGCTTGGCAGTGACGTTACACAACATCCATAATCCGAGCCCCGGCTTGGTTGACGGCCAGGGTTGCGACAAGTTTCAAAATGACATGCCAGACAGTTCAATAGGCAGCTGGAGCAGAAAGTGATCCAGCTAAGGAAGGAGCTCCCCCTTTCTGCCATAACGTATGTCGATGTCTTCGCTGCAAAGTACGAACTAATCGGCAATGCGACGAAGCACGGTAAAATCCTGATTCAACACTCTCACAGTCTGCTACAAACTTTAATAAAAAATAGAGCCAGGAACACTAAACAGACAATATGTGTATATAAACCATGGTTCTAATGCCCCTTTCTCGACCAAAAGTGTTCGATTTACGCATATTTCCTTCGATTAATAGTATGATAAAGCATCAGCTTCTGTTTTTTGTTATGTTTATGCAGGATTTTTGGATAAGGCAAACATCTGCTGTGGATATCATGAACACGACGACCATGTGTGGTGTGTAATAAGGGCATCATAAGTAATGGGACTCAAATATATGCTGGTTCATGTGAAGATCCTTCCTTGTATATTAGCTGGGACGGTGTTCACTACACTGAGGCTGCAAACCGTTGGATTGCTGATCAAATCGTCGGCGGTTCCTTCTCAGACGTGCCGGTTCCAATCACAGATTCATGTCATAGGAGTCGATCCGAGTAAATTCGTATACATATGTGATGCTTTCTATAGCCTCGTAATTAGTAGTTAACATGAAAAAATAAAAAGAAAAGAAGCAGTTAAGAAATAGTAAACTCAGAAAAAAAGCAGATAAATATTGTATAATCAAGGAATTAAACATTTTATTATACAAAACTCTTGAATTAGAGAACTTAGGGCTCGTTTGAAAGTACTTTTAAAGTGACAAAACGTGTTTGATGAAAATGTTTTTGGAACAATCCTTAGTAAAAATGCAAGTGAATAAAAAAAAACACTTGAAGTGCTTCCTGCATATGCTTCTTGTAGGAAGCACTTCAAGTGCTTTTGGAAGCCAAATTTTTTTCTTTAAAAGCGCTTTTAGTTCTTTTAAAAGCACTTCCAAATGTGTCCTTTGTTACAGAAAAAACTAGGTGTTTTTTCAATGTATTGTACTTGAATAACATAGGACATAATTGAACCTTCTCTCCCTCCTTATGCGTCAATAATCAATACCACCAATATTGTCTCCGACTTAATTACGTGCATATTCTACTAGGTGTGAGGTTTTGTACAAAATACGCTAACTTTTGTTTGAAAATTTCGTTATTAATGGAGTCCTGATTGCTATTTCTCAATATATATATTAATTTCTTTACACGTGAGGAGAGAGATTGGTACAAGGAGGTATACACCCCAACCCCGTTACATATAAGTTTCGCTCCATTTTGCCGATTTATTTGCCATACACCCACCGACAATTGGCATTTCTTAGGAAGCATGAATACCATGATCATTTAGAAATATAGTAGCTAGGATGCTCATATAAAAGGCACTCTATAACCTCCGCACAGAGCAAATGATCTAAGTCAAGCTGACATCAAAGACATGATTAACCAGTTGGCTACGGCTGTACAAGTACGTATACGGGGCCGGTTCTTGAACAAACAAACGTGATTATTTAAGAACGAAATGGTTATCAAACGAGCTCTAACAAATCATAATATCTTATGTTATACAGAATTTGTATGAACAAGGGGCAAGGACATTCTGGATACACAACACCGGCCCCATCGGTTGCTTACCAATGACATTAAAGTTCATCCCTAATCCGATCCCCGGATTACTTGATGAACACGGTTGCATCAAGTATCAAAACGACGTTGCTAGACAGTTCAACAAGGTTCTCAACCAACAAGTGATCCAGCTAAGGACGGAGCTCCCCCTTTCTGCTATAACATATGTCGATGTCTTTTCCGCAAAGTATCAACTCTTCGGTAGAGCAAAGGAGCACGGTAAAACCTCTTCCAAATTAATATGTGAATTCGAATATACATGGAGCACTGCTTCTTTGCGCCACATGCTTACAAGGGGCATATTCTCCTATTTGCTCCGTAAAATGGTCTCGTGTGCATTTCACGTGATTAATTTTGACAGAAATTCTCATAGAGTTTTCGGGAAGGATCAATGCTTTAGTCTTATCACATTCGGATACCAATTTGAGTAATTTTTTTTTTCTTAGACCAAAACTATGATTTGGTCATAGTTCATGAGCTATTACTCCAATTTTCTCTCAAAAATCTATAACCGGTTCTATTTATGCATATTTCCGCTGATTAAAACTACAACGAATTGTCGACATTTTTTATGTGTGTGCAGGATTTGGGAATACTGCAAACATCTGCCGTGGATATTTTGAAGATAAGAGCCAAGTGTGGTGTGGGCAAAGGGCAAACGTAAATTGGACAGAAGTGTTTGGTGGTTCATGTGAAGATCCTTCCTCGTATGTGAGCTGGGATGGTGTGCACTACACTGATGCTGCAAATCATTTGATTGCTGCTCAAATAATTAACGGTTCATATTCAGACCCACCAGTTCCAATCAAAAGATCATGTCACACGATTCAAGCATGAGTAATTTGCTTCCACTTGTGTGATATTTTCTAATAGCTTCAATGCAGGAATTAGACATATTAGTATTAGATTTCACCCAAAAGAACATATGACTGGTTAAATACGAGATGAAATTAATAAGAAATGAGATGAATTCTAGTAGGGTTGTATGGTTAAGACATGTTTCACGTTAAATATGACCAATGCAGAGTCAAGCAAGACAAAAATTTAGTCTTATGTTTTGTAAAGAAAACGGGACAAATATGAAATCGGGTGAAACTTAAATATGGAAAATTTATATTTTTGTAAAAAATGCCCTACAAATAATGTAGTTGGACTTGACCAATGGCGTAAAAGCAGAAGCAATGCAAATTGCCAGTTAGCTACCTAAATTGAGTGGTGTGGTACTTAATGATAAAAAAAAATGAATGTTAATAACTGACATTGTTGCGTAATGAGCGTTATAACTAGATAGAAGTAGACTATAAGTTTTTCTGTTTTGGTGGAGAAATGCTTTAATTAGATGTCCCTTATGTGTTGTTGCTCACTCAACACTTATAAGACATGGCAACACGATGAACATTCTATAAAAAGCAATAAATTAACGGTTAAAATGCTGAAGTATTGTGTACTCCGGAACAATATAAATTTAATAAAATATAAGAAGAAGCGGATTATATAGTATACATGTCGTGGAATTCAGAAATCATATCTGTTCATCGTACATAGTGCAGTAATAAATTATTTAAAATTTAAAATTTAATATAAATAATACTTAACGAAAAGTCGAAAACTGACCGCACAATATACGATGAATGAACATAATTTCTAGATCTTTGGATCTCCAGGAAAAGGAACCACCATAAGTTTCTCTGTCTTTGCACACTGCTCAATAACAAGATTTTTGGTTGATCACGCATGCAATGATTTTTCGTTAAAGTGAACAGTATTGCGGGCTTTTTGTTAAAACTCCCATAACATAATCTATCATGTTGTTCAATGTTGTTCATGAGTTCTGGCATATAGAATAAACCCACAAAAAAAAAAAATTTTGTGCTTCAGAGTAAGCGGTATTACGAGTGTTTTGACTTTTTTTTTTGTTAACAGATGATATTATTTACACTAAGAGGGTGGAAGAGTGGTCTAAATTTAAGGGTTAGCAATAATGTAGTTCAAGTTCGCTTTTGGTAATAATCGAACATAAAACTTCTCATTTACAAATAAAGAGAAATATCATTAAACTGTAGTATTAAGTGGTGAGTATTTTAATCTTGATTTTTGTATTTTAAAATAAAAATATAACAAGTAAAATATTCGAAATACATGATACTCCTAGCGTCTCGAGAGTAAAATCTTAATTACCATATGTACGTTATACAGAGAGTCACACACTTCGCAATCACCGACTCTCTAATAAAACAAAACTGTGTCTCTAATGTCCATGGAACTTGTCGAAAATTCAAGATTTATAACCAGCTGCATGTCATTGTCCCTTCCCTTGTGAACAACGGCATGTGTTGCTGAAACATATTCTGTTCCGTATCCTAATCCGTCATAAGGTCCGCGGTCCCAAGGAAGAAATTTCACCTACTAGAAATGTCGTTGTAATTGTATACAAGTCAGTCTCATATTGCTATATAAAAAAATTACAAAGCATAACACAGAACGACGGTGTCATCCTTAGACTTGGGTTCCTTCTCTACCATATAAAAATTCCAAGTAGAAGTTAACCCGACTAAAGTTAAACCCTATCGGATTAAATTTCTAATTTCATCCTTGACGTGACATTGTATGACTAAATAAAATACTGTCACAGTTGCATTCTGGTGAGTAAATTTATCTCCCCTCACTTAAGTCCAAAGCCAAGCAACACCATGGGAAAGTATTAACCTGATCCTAATTGTGCTGAAATTAGAGGATTTTCTAATATAAGAGTTTTATAATTCAAGGTTTTAAATCGTTAAATTTTAATAAATACAGTAACTAAAATCTAACCGCTAAAACATCAAAACAGAGGACTCCGAAGCACCTTTAGATCCTCAAGAAAGCATCAACAACAACAAGAACCATATAAGCAAAAACAAGGTCTTATCCCACTAAATAAAATCATCTGTATGAATCTTAAAACGTAACTACTCCTTATTTATACTATATCTCCCATTAACTCCAAAGATTGTATATCTAGAATTTATTTTTAAGTATTCCGAGGTTTCCATCTATCTTTTTTGTCTGAACCTCGAGAAAGCTAAAGGGAAAATAATTTAACTGAGCTGGTGGGGACAGTGGACTACACCTCATCACTAGCGGGGACAAAAAGATTTTCCTTTTAATTTTTCTTCTTTTTTCGGCCGAGTAGATCAACAGCACATGCCTCTGAATCTCTCTGATGAAAATCTTTGTCCCCACATATAATTAGGATAACTTTATCCTCTTCAAACCAGTCCCATCCTATCCAGCTTTCACATTTAAATGCTGCATGATTAGCCTCACTGGTCACTACCATCAGCCAAACAGTGGAAAATGGAGTTTTGGAAACCGCTTCTGGCATCTGGGTTCTTCTTGGCTTTCTGGGTTTTGGCTGTGGGAGGCCAGAGCTTACCACCCTGTTCTTTTCCGGCAATTTACAACTTCGGGGACTCGAATTCCGACACCGGCGGCATATCGGCCGCGTTCGAGCCAATCAAAGCTCCTTACGGCGAGGCATTCTTCCACAAACCGGCCGGGAGGGACGCCGATGGCCGCCTTATCATAGACTTCTTAGGTAACAATTAAATTAACGGCAAATACTTCTCGCTAATCCCTAATCACAGTATGATGCGTGTGCATATTTTTTTTCTTTTCAATATATTTATTTTACATACGCGTCGAGCTGTGATTTTGTGCAGCTGAGCGCCTTAAGTTGCCATACTTGAGTGCATATTTGAACTCACTTGGAACAAATTACCGGCACGGTGCGAATTTCGCCACCGGAGGATCCACCATCAGGCGGCCGAACGAAACCATTTTCCAGTACGGCATTAGCCCTTTCTCCCTCGATATGCAGACGGCGCAGTTCCTGCAGTTCAAAGCTCGCACTGCCGATCTCTATCGCCAAGGTTCGATCTTTTCAGTGCCGAAAACTGCTTCAAGCTTCAATCTTTATTAATTGGCTGTTGTAAATCTGAACTGTTTGCGATGTCCTCCAGCCAAGAACCCTTCTGAGAGAAGCGCTTTGCCGGATCCACGGGAGTTCGCAGAGGCTCTGTACACGTTTGATATCGGGCAAAACGACCTTTCCATGGGTTTTCGGAAGCTCAGTTTCGACCAGTTTCGTGCAGAACTGCCGGACATTGTCAACCAGTTAGCCACAGCAGTCCATGTAAGTAGCACCATGGCAGTCGCTTAAGATTAAGAAACTTAATTTGGTCAGTTTGGAATTGCTTATGTAGGAAGTACTTCTACTAGAAGTGCTCATCGCATCTTCATTAAACAAACATGTCTGTAACATTGGTTGTGATTGACAAACTTCAGCGGATATATGAAGAAGGGGGGAGGACGTTTTGGATACACAACACAGGTCCTGTTGGTTGCTTGCCGGTACAATTATTCTACAACCTGAATCCGCCGGCCGGTTATCTCGACGACCACGGCTGCGTCAAGGCCCAAAACGACATCGCCGTAGAGTTCAACACGCAGCTCAGAGACAAAGTCATCAAACTAAGAGCTGAGCTGCCACAAGCCGCAATCACATACGTCGATGTCTACGCCGCCAAGTACGGACTCATCGGCACTGCAAAGACTGAAGGTACCCAATTTGTTCAACTTCCTTACCGCTAATTACGTTATTTAGATACTGATTAACGTTGCCATCTTTGTTTACAGGGTTTGCTGATCCGATGAAGGTTTGTTGCGGTTATCACGTGAGATACGTCCACATCTGGTGCGGGAACAAGGGAAGCGTAAATGGAAGCGATGTCTACGGTGCTTCTTGTCAAAACCCGTCGGCTTTCATTAGCTGGGATGGAGTTCACTACACCGAGGGAGCGAACCAGTGGGTTGCTAATCGTATACTCAATGGCTCGCCATCGTCGAACCCGGCAATTCCTATTACTCAAGCTTGTCATAGGCATTGATAGGTAGACAGATATCAAAATAGTAATAAGATGTATTACAAGAGAGGAACACTTAAGACTCGGTCTTTTCCTGTTACTGCTTCCCTCTTCCATCGGAGGCTAACAGAGGTCGGAAAGCTAGCCGACCTCTTTTTAGTTCCAGTGGACATGAAGATTAAAATCAGAGATAACTACCCTACGGAAAATTTTTGATTGTGATCGTTGTAATGTACCCTCTTCTCTATCTCTCATCGCATGACCAGAGCGTGAGAGAGATACAGAGAGGGATCATCGCAGCGTTTACAACTTTACACATGCTGCATGCTTGACACGACGACACTCAACTGGTGGTCCAACCCTAATACATGAGAGCAACGTCTATGGCATGGGGCACCACGCTGACGGTATTCCCATGCCATAAAAGTATTTTTCATAATACATCCGGGACCATTAACTTTTTTTCCTTCGAGTGTGACGACAAAATACAATCGTGGTGGTGGTGCAAACAAACTTAAACCAAGGTGGTGGGATGATGCAATTCTGAGAAAACACAGCACGCGGCTACAAGCCTCCAACTAAATCATGGACCATTAAACTTCGGTTTGATTGTGACAACCAAATAACATGTAATGTAAATTCAGAATGCAAACAAACAGATGCCAACTTACATCACTTTCAATCGATCACATTCATATCCATCTCAGTTCCTCTTCCACTTCCCGCTCAACAACGAACCAAAACTCAGAACACAACATAAACTATGCATGACAGCGGGCATTCCTCTGCTTCCGACACTAACAAAAAGTATAAACCAGAAATGTTCTCCGGAATGCTTGTTGCCCACCCTTAGATTTGATATCAAGAGTTGAGATTAGAACATTAAAGGCACATCCGTTTATTTTCCTCCCCTGATATCAAGTCCCGATGTGGGTGACCATACATCCTTAGTCACATGTGACCAAGAGAACAGGGACTCGAGTATAAACTTGTCACAAAAGCTTGTTACAATTACTCAAAACCCATTCAAAAGGAAGAAAGTGAAAACGAAAGAACAAATTTGATTTAGGTCCATAAACATTTTCATAATTCAGGTTTAGTTAACGGTATCTTGTTTTCAACTTAGATCAATACCGACTAACTCCAAGGCAACAGCAATTCTAACACTCATTGGCCTTTCCAGAACACACAAAATGTTGATCGACTGAACCCTAATTTCAAACATATGTATTGATTTCAAATGAAAAAACCGAAAGCAAAAACCACAACGAATGAGATTGAGCTATCAACAAAACTATGACCACCACAAGAAACTAGTACGTTGTCTATAATTCCAATCATACGTAGACTAATAGTTTTACTATCAACTCACTCGATAATGGACTGGATGACACCAGCCCCAACAGTCTTCCCACCTTCCCTGATCGCAAATCTCATTCCTTGCTCGCAAGCCACTGGCATTATAAGCTCCACCACCATCTTCACCCGGTCTCCTGGCATCACCATCTTCGTCTCCTCATCCTTGTCATTCTTAACTCCAGTCACCTTCCCTGTCACATCCGTCGTCCTCATGTAAAACTGTGGCCTGTATCCTGCAAAGAATGGCGAATGCCTCCCGCCCTCCTCCTTCTTCAACACATACACAATCGCCTCAAACTTCGTGTGAGGCTTAATGTTGCTGGGCTTCGACACCACCATCCCTCTCTGGATATCCATCTTCTGAATTCCCCGCAGCAGAAGCCCCACATTATCACCGGCCATTGCCTCGTCGAGCGTTTTCTGAAACATCTCAACCCCTGTCACTGTTGTGGTCCTAGTCTCTCTCAATCCCACTATGTCCACACTGTCCCCAACCTTCACTTTACCCCTCTCCACCCTTCCTGTCGCAACCGTGCCCCGCCCTGTGATCGAAAACACATCCTCAACCGCCAGCAAAAACGGAAGATCAACTTGCCGTTGTGGAATTGGAATGTAACTGTCCACAGCATCCATCAGGGCATAAATCTTGTCCACCCACTCGTTCTCCCCTCTCTTGATTTTTGGGTTCGCCATCAACGCTTCCAGAGCCAGCAATGCCGACCCGGAAACCACCGGCACGTCGTCTCCCGGAAACTCGTACGAGGACAAAAGCTCCCGGACCTCCAATTCCACCAGCTCAAGCAGCTCCTCGTCGTCCACCTGATCCTGCTTGTTCAGGAAAACCACCACATTGGGCACGCCGACTTGTTTGGCCAACAGCACGTGTTCTTTGGTTTGGGGCATGGGGCCGTCGGCGCCAGAGACGACGAGGATAGCTCCGTCCATCTGGGCGGCGCCGGTGATCATGTTCTTGACGTAGTCGGCGTGCCCGGGGCAGTCCACGTGGGCGTAGTGGCGGGTTTCGGTCTCGTACTCGACGGTGGCGGTGTTGATGGTGATCCCGCGCGCGCGCTCCTCCGGGGCTGCGTCGATCTCGTCGTACTTCTTGGGTGCGCTGTTGCCCATGGAAGCCAGAGCCATGGTCAGCGCCGCTGTCAGCGTCGTCTTGCCGTGATCCACATGGCCGATCGTGCCGATGTTCACGTGCGGCTTCTTCCGCTCGAACTTCCCACGTGCCATCCGGACAGTGAAGGATCGGTGACGTCGGAGTGACGGCGGAGGGTGGAAGATAGTGGAGACATTTGTGGCGGCGAGGAAGGCGGAGGAGAGGAGGGGTGGGCTGTTTGGTTTGGAGGCTAGGGTTTTAGTGATAGTGGGTTTTGAGCTGGGTTTAGAGAGAGAGAGGTGGGTAGACAGACAAAGTGTGGGCGAAGCTGGCGGTGAGGGCGTGAATAGTAGCTTCGATGACGACGGAGCTCCGATCGCGGAAGCCATGAATTGCTGGGAGATAAGCGGCGGCGAAGATGATCGAAAGAGAGGGCGGAGGCAACGAAGAAAGGGGGATTTGAGTTCGAGGGGGAGAGTTTTGGGATCAAAGTAGGGCGCACTTGCTTAACATTTGCTTAACATTAATTAATTAACTAATTATTGGTTGTTCATTGTTGAGACTCAATAACAAAGGTAAAACGTCTCAAGTACATTTCACACCATCGAGATTAGAGGATAATTGTAAAATGAGCCACGAGCACAATATGACATTTTGGTATAAACCAGTATACACATTTTGTTAAAATTAATCGTCTAATTAATCGTTAAGTGTTGATGTGATAGTATGAAACCATCCCGTCATGCTAGATAGAACACACCAAGGCCATTTTAGTCTTGAGTTCTGCCTTACCACGTCATCAATTAACCAAATGATTAGCCTAACATAAGGTGTAATTGATCAAAAGCGAAAAAAATTGAAACCTCGTGGTCCAATTTGATGGGAAGAGATCCTTTCCGAATCTCTCCCACCAATCAATTAATCCGAACTCTTGAAATTTGATGTTGAATCAAATTTCAAAGTTTCGAATTAATTGATTGAGATTTGATGGAAGAGATCCCCCAGATTTGAAGGTGTGAAATGTACCTTGCCCAAAATCAAACGACGTCACTTTACGTATCATACAAAGCCACATAATAGTAACATTCCCATCCGAGTTTTTGAAACGTGTGGTTTACTGTGGGACAAAGAAAAGTAGAAAATTACACGAGACGATCCTAAACGCCATTTTACTTTAATTTATACACAAACTATAAACAGCACGAAAGCATCACTGGCGATGGCCTTCCGGCAGGGCAACCACCTTATGGAAGGGCACCGTCCTCTGAGGCAAGGATCCATCTTCCTCGTCGTCATCGAATTCCAACAAATAACTGCCCAAATTCAAACATTAAAACATCATATCATGTATGTAACAAGGAAAGAACTAAATCAAGATGCCTTGATTATAAAGTAACGTAGAAGTAAAACCCAGTCCGTATTGAGGTAACTTACTCATCCGTCTTCCTCTGATGGTTGAGCATCCGGCAGAAGCATGCAAACATGATCAGGGGTTAGTTTGGTTCCACGGCATAAGCACTACAACGATACTAAATAGAGAAATGCACAAAGAAAAATGCATCAAAGTGGATGGATGGAATTGTCACCTTGCGATGGCCATTCACCACAGTTGCCTTGTATAGTGCAGTTGTTCCTGGATATACTGCTAAAACGGGTCTTCCAGTAGGGAAATCTATAGCACTGGAAGGATCGTTTCTCTTCGGGAAAGGTATAATAGCGCTCATAGGCAACTTGTACTTTCTGAGAGCAGCAATGACAACATATAAAAATGGTGAAAAGAAAGTTAAGCGTCCAAAAGAATTCAATATAAACCAGAGAGAACGGTATTGTTTTTTTATGAATAGAGAGAACGGTATTGTTAAACACACAAGAAGGAAACTACCTTTGGACACCGCCCTCTTCATCATCACCCGGCTCCTCATCTAGTACTTCAAATCTGCACAATTTTAACTAGCATCACACTATGTCCAAAATAAACAAACCAAGTTGGCAGATCATGATTGGGCTAAAAAAGTTATCATGATAAACTAAAACGAGTTATCTCATAGTAAGTAAAACCAGACTTACTCTCTTGTATCCTTGTCAAAATGCATCACTTTTACAACAAACCACTCATCCTTGTCAGCATCTTCTTGAGTGACTGTGACCCTAGCTGCTACCTAAAAGTGACAGTAAATGTCAATAAAACCGAACCTCAAAGAGTATCAGTCGCAGGCACAATCAAACACGAAAGATCACCATAATACTGCATACCTGTTCGCCTTTTAGACTAGCACAAGCCTCAAGTTGACTTCGCATGGAAGGGGAAATCCTTGAAATGTCTGAATCAGGCTTCATTCTCTTCCTTTTCTGCTCATTACCTTCTGCAGTACATGTATTATCAGCCAACTGTAGAAATTATAGTGTTTTCCAAATAAAAAGAACAGGAATCTCATTGGAATATTAGCCACTCGATATAATGTCATATATGTATATATTTATCTTTTAGTTAAGCATAATATGGCATCTGACAATTAACGTAAACTGTGAAATATTTATGTAAAACGAAAAGCCAACGGAAATATGTAAATATTTAATAGGAATGCTTATAGCTCCTGGATTCATACCCATCCTTCTTCGCGGCTGCCCTGGAGGTCCAGAAGGCAAAAGAGCATCAAGCTGACTCAACAACAAATTGGAAACACTGCAACAAAAAACGTTAAACTAACCTGTAAAGCTTATCAATAAACAAAAGCTTA